ATTGGGATGGGTGTGTCAGAGATGGTGAGAATGGCATAGGACAGAACGGAGTCTAGGGCTGTTGTCCATAGGGTTGCTATGAGTCGCAAGTGATTAAATTGCACATAACAACAACAACAACAACAACAACAACAACAACATAATTTTGTTAATTTTTAAGGAATCAGTTTTAATTTTCTGATTTTTTTACTATTGTTGCATAGTTGTAAAAATAATTTTATATCACATAAATTTCTATAGTTTTGCTTATTTTTAGATCAGTTTATATTCTGGATTTTGTATCTTGATTTTAGACAGTTAAACCATTTCTAATGATTACAAATTCAGTTATTTTCTTATGCCCTTACTGCATAATAAATCTTTTCTTTTACTCTTGGGATTCTACTGCATTTAAGATTTTATTTTGCATACTACATGTCTCTGACTCTCCATTCTATGTTTAATATACTTTTATTCCTGTAAGATTCATTGTGAATAATTGTTAACATTTCTTCTGGTCCTCTAATTATTTCATTTCTCACCTTCTTAAAATCCAGTGTTAAATATGAGTGTTGAATTATTTTTTAAAACATTTATTCCTAAAAATGTAATTCCCATCTTCTTAATAATGTCTAGATAGCTAATGGGTAAGGAGTTGCTCTGCAAACCCATAGACAAGCAATTAAAATCCATTCACTTCTCTGTGGGAAAAAAATAGACAATTTCCTCTCATGCGATTTACCACAAAAAATCTGCTGGTAGCTGGTTTAGCTATGAATTAACTCCAACTTGATGCCAATGATTTCTTGAGTTTGAGAGCAGTGTGTTGTTTGGTAGGTTAACTCCATGCTAAAAGTGTTATCTTTGTTTTATATCCATAAACATAATGTAAATAGTAAATATTTCTCTGTGTCTGCAAATTTAAAGTGTAATTAGCATGGTTTATCTTATTTTCTATTTTATAGACTTGTCTCTTTGTGTCTGGTTATTTTTTATTTTCTTTCATAAAGTATTGAGAGTACCATGGACTGCAAGGAAAACAGATCCATCCCGGAAAGGGTCAAACCGGGCGGCTTCTTGGAGGTAAGGATCCTGAGGCTTCGACTAACATACTTCAGACATGTTATAAGGAGAGACGGGTCCTTGGAGAGGGACATCATGCTTGGGAGGGTGGAGGGACAGCGCAGGAGGGGAAGACCCTCTATGAGGTGGATTAATTCAGTGACTGGGGTAATCGGGATGGGTGTATCAGAGACGGTGCGATTGGCACAGGACAGAGTTTAGGGCTGTTGTACATAGTGTCGCTATGAGTCACAAGTGACTTGATGGCACATAACAACAATGACAACAACAATATCTAACATAAAATAAAACTTAGATTTGTTGTTGTTGTTATGCGCTGTTGAGTTATCGGAGACACATAGTGACCCTATGTACAGCAGTTCTGAACCTTGTCATATCCTGAGCCAATCTCACTAATTCTGACACACTTACCTCCTCTCCCCCAGTTACTGTATCCATCTATCTCATCCAGGATCTTCTTCTCCTACGCTGTCCCTCCACCCTTCTAACCTTGATATCCTTCTCCAAGTATCAATCTCTCCTGGCCATGTGCCAAAATATTTAAGACAGAGCTTCAATGTCCTAGCTTCCAAGGAGAAACTTGGTTTCATTCTCTCCAAGACAGACTTATTTATTTTCTTGGCAGCCCATGGTATGTTCAAGACTTTTCTCCAGCACCACAACGCGAAGCATTTATTCTTCTTCTGTCATCTTTAGTCATTTTCCAGATCTCTGAAACATAACAAGTAATTGTGAAGACATTGTCCTTAGTCTCTAGCCTGTCATTGTTGCTTTTCAGCACTCTGAAGAGATCCCTGACAGATTTTCCCAATGCAATTTATCTTTTTATTTCCTGACTGCTGGTGTTAAGAATGTTGATTGGGGAGCTGAGCAAGCTGTAATTGTTAACATCTTCAATCTCTTCTTCATCTGTCATGCTGCCGTCAATTGGCCCAGTGGTGAGAATCTTTGTCTTCTTGATGTTGAGCTTCAGTCCTTATTGAAGACTACAGTCCTTGACCTTCAGCATCAAGTGCTTGCATATTGTAGGCTAGATAGATAGATAGATAGACAAATAATGTTTAAATATGGAAGCAGGAGCAACATCCATTTCCTAAACAACATGCCTCCAGAAACTCTATGAACTTTGATAAATGTTGATAGTTATACAAAGCTGACAGTTAAAGAAAGTTTCCAGGCCTTTTGTTCATAGGGTTGCTATGAGTCGTTCTTGACTTGAAGGCAATCAACAATATATGTTTAAATAATTTCCTCTCTTTACAAAGTACTTCTACTTCCTTATGTCAGGTACATACAAGCACCAATACTTTTGAGTATAATAAATACTAACAATAACTGGTGTAATATGAAGCTTGGCATTATCATCATCAAGAACCAAATTCTCTTGTTCCTTTACTACAAGACAGCTTTTTAATATCCTAACATTATAATGCTATCAAGGTCATTGTGCTGTGAGTTAAAGTCCTAGATTCCTTGCTTTCTTATGCTAGTGTTGTGGTTCTTTCAAAATCTCAGGTGAGCTTAATATTTTCTTTTATCACTTCCAGGATCAAGAACTATCCTTAACAAAATGTGTCCCTAAATTCAGAGTTTTCTAACTTTACATCTCCTCTTGAATTTAAACTTTTGCTTTTTTTAATAGGTCTTCAAATAGGTCTTAAAAAATATTGTCAGGTGTTTAAACAATTCTTTTATGAAGCTTTTCTAGGTAGTCTTTTTTCTTTCTTTTTTAAAAAAAATCCTGCTCTCAAATTGGCATGCTGTTTCAAAATACCTCCTCCACCATGTCTGTATAAAAGTTCCCAGGACAGGAATTCAAACTCACTCTCTCACAATAGTTTGCATAAGGCTTATGGTTATTTGGTGCCATTGAGTCAAGTAGACTCACAGTGACCCTGTTGACAAGAGACCTATCCTGTGCCATCCTCATCATCTCTGATACACTTTAGCCCATGGGTGCAGTCACTCAGTCAATCCAATTCATTGGGCTTATTCTCTCTTTAGCTGATCCTCCACTTTTTGAAGCATGAGATCCCTTTCCAAAGAATGGCCTCTCCTAGCAACATGCCTAAAATATGTAAGGGAAGCTTCGTGATTCTTGTCTCCAAGGAATCCTTTAGTTGTACTTTTTCCAAGATATATCTGTTCATTTTTTTTGTGACAATCTATAGGATATTAAGTGCTCTTCCCTAACGCTATACTTTAAAGCGATCATTCATCCATATTCATTGTCTCGCTTTTAGATGCATAGCAAGTGATTGGGGGAGGGGGACCAAACAAGAAATTACCTGAATTAAACATACTTTAACCTTAAAATTAACATTACTTCTTTTTAATATCTTGGAGAACTGTCTTCTTTGAGCTCCTAGCCCTCCCACATTTCAGAGTCCAATATAAAAGTATATGGACATCTAACTTTTTTCTGTATGAAATTCTAACTTTTATAATTTATTATAACTTTTTTATAATTTTATAACTTTTAATTTTTAAACTGTGACAACTCCTTGGCATTATATAGATTCTTTCTGAGTTAAGCACTCTAAATCTTTGTGTTCAAAGTACAGAAATAAAATAATTATCTTAAAATAATTCTTTAGTAATAGATATGAATTTTTATTTTAAATTAATTACTCTTAATAGGGAAATTTAGGAAATTGTGAATTCTGAGCACGGAACAAGGAGTAGTCTGCAGTCCTTGGGCTGGGAGGCTGAGCGCCTCATGAGAGAGAAGTCCAGGGGATCAAGAAGGCACAGGAATGAGTGACTCAGCTTCCCTCCACCATCAAAACAGGCACCATGGCCCAGAAGTCCATGCTGAACAAGGAGGAGCCTACAGTCCTTGGTAAAAAACAACACTATATGTCAGATCTACAGGACAGATCACCCTTCCTTGGGAAATATTGTGATTACAGTGTGCTGTTTTAAATGGAACGGAAGAGGCCCCAAACCACAAGAAGTTAAACCTGGAGCAGAAATTAAAGGGAAAGGACTTTCTTCAGAACTATCTGAAATAAGAAGGCTTCCCTAATATCAGTACTTTGTATTTGGACTTACAGGCTCCTAAATTCAAGGGACCGTGATCACAGTATAAGAAAGCGGCAGCAACTTGAAGCATTTGGAATCACAAAAGCCCATAAACCTTGAGATATAAGTTATCAGAGCAAGGGATGGTTAGCAGGAGATAGGTGTTGAAGAAAGTAGATGGGAGTAGAAAGGAATGCTGGTAGCACAAGGAAATGGGTGGGTCAAGATACTTGTGTCAAGGGCAAGAACAACACTGAAACTACTGGCGATTTCTACATTAAGAAATATCTTTCATCTTCATTTTTCTGTAAAATGCTTTTATGTCAGAAACTTTTCTAAATCTGAGCATTCAGACTAAGACAGACTAAGAAGGATTGGTCATTCACTTTTGAAGTAGTAGGCCTTTGAAAACCCTATGTACAAAAGAACACACTTAGACTAGCAGATAAGGCAACAGATGTGAAGTTTTAAAGTACGGAGATACTAAGGAAGAGGAAGAGTTGTAAGCAGATACTAGTGGTTGGAACATGGAATCTGAGAACTATGATGTAAGAATATTAGATATTGTTAAGGAAGAAATGGAACACATAAATATTGACATACTAGGTATTGGTGAGATGAGATGGATTGACATGGGACATTTTTAATCAGTTGAACATATGATCCACTATGCTGCAGACGAAAAGGTGAAGAAAAATGGGGTTGCTTTCATAGTTAAAATAGTTATTTCTAGATGCATCTAGAATAATATTGTGAGTGACAGGATAATATCCATATGATAGTGAATACCACTATCACTCAGATATATGCACCAACAACCAGAGCCAAAAAAGAGGAAATAGAAGATTTCTACCAACTTTTGTAATCAGAAAATTATGCAATCAAGATGCATTAGTAATAATGGATGACTGGAATGCAAAAGTTGGTAACAGAGAAGAAAGATCAATACTTGGAAGGCATGG